CTATCTCAATTTACTCGAATCCTTCACTTAACCAATACCAACACGAACTGACCAAAATATGAACGAAATACAAATATTAATCAAAAATATGACTTCAGTTCAAATTTTTTCAAAAAAAAAGTTTTTAAACCCAAATGAATCAAAAACAAAACTTCCAACAAAGACCAACCTCAACAGTCCACGACTGCTGCTCACTCAACTCACTATCATACGCGAATATAATCGATTTCGGCCATATCTCCACTGCGTCCGATATTGTTGCCATTTTTTCACCGTTCACTTCACCCAAACCACTGATTCCATGACCGTCCTATACATCACAAAAATTATAAAGGACAATATAAAAACAATAATAATCATTCTAATGAAAACACTACGAATAAGGCCAGTAATAACGCAACAATAACACTATAATAATAACAATAATAATAATAATAACTTTGAAAATAATAAGTTGATAAATATTCTGAAAACAAAAGAACTGTAATAATAAGAATTTAAAAAAACCAACTGCAAAACTGAAACAAAATTAATCACAACCGAAATCGCACCTCATCAATGACAGATAAAAATGTCGACCGTATTGTTGCCATCCCACTCTTGATTGCCTTCACGTAGAAGTATGTGTTGTTTGAAGAGTGCTCCAAAATTTCGAAATATTCCTCAGGAACTGTTGTTTCAAAACGAGCATTCTGCAATACAAAACATCTTTTTTCATTGCGCTACCAACCAATTATCAATCGCTAACATGAACCACTATCCTCTTCGCCTATTGCAATTTATCAACGCCAAAAAAATTCCACCATGCAAAAATCACCTCATTTCAATCGTTTAAACTATATTCTCATTATTCAAACCCATACTTCAATGTGCTCCTTTAACACCTCTAATTCAATAAACACTGAAAATGATTCGCTCCAACATACTATCAATTCACCATTATACAATCACTGATTCTAACGAATTTCGATGCTTTTCAAAAAATCATCCAACAAAGACGTGAGATAACAGTTGAAAGGAAGAAAGAAAGAGCTTCACAACTGAAACCAACCTCAGGTATGAGCATAATGTTATCGTCCGAATCCAACAATGATACGCTGATTCCGTAGAGCGATCCCTTTTGCAGATACCACGACCCTGTCGAGATCACAAACGACACACCTGACGGCGGTACCACGTAGATGTGCGATGAGACTGGTTTATGATTTGCTTTTAAATCTAAAAAAGCAAAATGTTATCAGGTGGAAACAACTACAATAAAATAAAATCAGCAATTATGACTTCAAACAACAAAAAAACATAATGCTAACGATAACAACACTGCTGCTGATTACAACGATCATAACGATAATAATAATACTAACATTGTTACAATTCAAACAACTTACTCTCATCAATAATCGAAATTTGTGTTGA